GGGAGGGGGAACGAAGAGAGAGGAGATGGTACAAAGAGAGAGAGATGTTACAGAGAGAGAGGAGAGGGTGCAAAGGGAGAGGAGAGGGTGGAAAGGAGGGGGGAGGAAAAGGGTAAAAGGAGGATGAAGGAGGTGAAGGAACGAGGAAACAGGAGAGCAGAGAGGCACTTGATGCTCGCTGCTGAAAGGTACAGGCGGGGAACAGCAGCAATGCAGGCGAGTGGTAGAGGTGCAAGGAGAGGAGCAGCAGATGGGAGAGGTGTGGGCAGGATGCAGATAGGAAGTGTGTGGGATTACGCTTGCGAACAAGCACCATGACCAGCGTTGACTGACCTTGACTGAGCGCCACTGCGAGAGCGGCCACACAGAGGAGGCGCTCCCCACTCCCGCCACTATGCCTCGCAGCCTTCAGCCCCAGTGGCATTGGTGCGTGGAACGAAGGAACGGGGAGAGGAGGGCAAGGGAACGAATTGGCCTGAGAGGTCCGTATTGAGAAGCAAAGAAGCAAGCAACCTATGCTGAGGCCTTACACCATTTAGTAGTAGAAAGTAGAAAGCAGTAGAAAGCAGGCAGCATTTGCTGCATAGAAAACCTCCTCGTAATGATAGGTATATCGTTGGTGACGCACTCACCTCCGCATGGTGAAGTCTTCAGCCTCAAAGGGCGCTCGGAGCTCTGACCCCGAGCGCAGGTGCTGCTTGCGCAGGAGAGAGAGGCAGAAGGCGGAGAGCGGGATGAGGAAGGGCGCACAGCCCGGCAGCCTGCAGGTGGGGTTGGAAAGGAGAGTGATAAGGCGAGAGAAGTGGGCAACCAGTGTGTGTAGTGTAGGCGAATATGCGAAGAGGCTGCATCACAAGTACTAGGCAAGGGCACCAAGAGGCTGCAACCCAAACAAAAACTGTGTGAAAGTGGGTAATAGTCGTGTCGGGTCAGTCATTGTTCTGGTGCGTCGGACTGACTGACTGAATCCTTCAGGTCGCTACATATGGGAGGGAGGACCATGGAGGAGCGGCAATGGGCATGCAACACACACACACACACACACACACACACACACACACACACACACACACACACACATGCACAAGAGGCCGCGCCGCGGCACGCACCGAGGGTGGAACACAACAGTGAAGGGGCAGCGGCGCTCATAGGCCATTGTGGCCATGCGCACTGTTCCCTCCACATCCATCCCCCCTGGCCCCATGCTGCTGCCCCCCGTGCCGCTCGCGAACACTCCATAGGCCAATGGCGTGGCGACAGGTGGCACAGTCTTCCTTCTGATGCTGACCTTGAGGTAGCCATCGTGACCCCTGGGAGCAGAGGGAGTGGGAGTGGCGGGGAGAATGGCATTGAGGGGGAGTATGGAAATTGAGGGGGAGTATGGAAATTGAGGGGGAGGGCATGGGGGAGAGGGAGTATGGTTAGAGGAAGTTGGGAAGCACGGGAAGAGAGGCACATCAGGACGGCAGGAGAAGACGATTCAAGTAGAGAGGCCAATATGGAGCAGTCGCTGGTGCCAGAGCAAGCTGCTGCAAGATTTCAATGAAGCCAAAAAGGCCCGAGTCACTCCCCAGCCAACCCTCAAGTCAAGAGCAACCAAGGGCCCTCGCCTCACCGCACGAACAGAACCCTGTCGCCTGCGACAAGCCCTCGGCTGGACACAAATGCGCTCCACCCGGTTGTGAGCAGGTGCCGCTTGGGCGAGCCCCTGTACACGTGGCGGAAGATCCAGCTGTTGCCGTAGATATCAACGGCTCTCAGCCTCTGAGAGGGGATGTCCTGCGTCATGTCCTGGTGAGGTGGAGAGATGGTGTGAAGATAGTAAAGGTGGGAAGGGGGGTGGGGGAGCAAAAAAAGTGGTGGGAAAATGGGGACGGTATGTTGAGGAGGTGGCGATATCAGATGCGAAGGAGGGCGGTTGAATTGGGGAATGCACGGACGTGATGGAAAGGAGGGGAGGGGGTAGTAGGGCTATGAAACGAAGAAACTGGCAGGAAGAAATAGGATGGCCAGACAAAACAGACGATGGGAAAGTGCAAGCAACGAAAGAAGGACGGGCAGAGACTCATCGACACATCATAGAGGTAGGTGGAAATGCAAGGGAGAAGAGCGTTTGGGATGGAGGGAGGTGGTGGTGGAAAGGAGGTCAGCTGATGAAAGGAGGATAAAGAGGAGGAGGAAGAGGAGGAGGAGGAGGAGGAGGAGGAGGAGGAGGAGGAGGAGGAGGAGGAGGAGGAGGAGGAGGAGGAGGAGGAGGAGGAGGAGAAGGGAGAAGAGCAGTAGCAGCAGCAGCAGCAGCACATACCAGTTGAGGAAGGCAGGTGTCGGCGGCCTTGCGAGGCACGGAGAGGCCGCCATGGGTGGAGGTGTCACTGGCTGTGAGCGTCTTGCAGAACATCACCGCCTGCTCCTCCCGCCCCCACATCAGCCCCGCGCCACTCTCACTTCCCTCCCCGCCCACGCCTGGTCTTCCTCTCCCCCCTGCTGCTGCCGCTGCTGCTTCCTGTGCTCCAGCTGTGATAGCTGCTTGGGAGGTAGCCGCCTCAGACTGGGAAAGAGAGAGAGAGAGAGCAGGGCCAAGGAAAAAAAACAAATTGTAAGATGAAGAGGTGAAAACTGGAGCGAGGGAAAAGAGGGAGGAGGGGAACGGGGTTTGAGATCAAGCGTCAACGATTGGCGCAATGGACAGTACTACATGATGGTGGGGACGCAGAGCATGTGGTGCGTGTGATGTGATCCACTGGCATTGCGCTTCACAGCGGACACTCGATAGGTGGAAAGTACTACACGGTGTGGATACTCGATGCACAGGGGCGTGACATTCACCTCGTCTACGGGATGTATCTGCAAGGCAGCGCACACAGTGTCGGTGTCTGGATGGGCCTGCACGGTGGGATACATGCAGGCGGGCGCACATGGGCACATGGGCACATGGGCACATGGGAGACGCTCGTGCAATCATGCGTGCAAAAGCTTGTGGTCAGTACAGACCAGAAGTGCCGAAATGAAAGCAGCAGCTGGGCATCGAGAGTGCGACGCGACACAGCAATTTTGAGGTGGATGCCCAGCTCTTGGCACGATGATTCAGAGACGGCATGAGCGCGGAGAGAAGACAGAAAGCACACACCTGGAGGGTGGCGGCAGTGACGCGGCAGAAGATGTGGCTGGGAGGGAGGGGCGTGTCGGCAGGCAAGGCAGCGAGGTGCGCACTCAGATCCTCCAGCGCTTCGCCGTGCAACGCCCGGCCTTGCGCCCTCTGTGCGAGGGAGGGAAGAGACCAAGGGGGGTGCAAAGAGTTTGGAGAGGGAGGGGGGGAATGGACGAAGGGACGGAGTGAGGGAAGGAGGAAGATAGAGGTAGAGGAGAGGGAGGATGGGACTTGGAAGAGAAAGAGTAGGAGATGAACCAGGGGGGACGAGACGGAGTTGAAAGGTGGTAGATTCTTGGTCAGAGCGAGCATGGCAAGCATAGAGAAGCTATAGGAGGACGAGGGGGAGGAGGAGGAGGAGGAGGAGGAGGAGGAGGAGGAGGAGGAGGAGGAGGAGGAGGAGGAGGAGGAGGAGGAATGAAGAAGAGAGGAAAGTGATGAAAGACTGGGAATGCGTCCGTGTCCCTGTGTGCAGCAGCGTGCGGAGGGACGCAGTAATACCTGTTGGAGAAGCACTTGCTGCTCGATGTGCCCCTGAGGGAAGTAGACGGCGAGCGACCCCACAGCAGGCACCATAGCCAGCGACCCAGCCGCCACGTGCCACAGCTCCTCATCCCTCGCCTTCACGAAGGCGTCTCTCGCTTCCCCTCCCCGTGCTACGCCCATTCCACGGGCTGATGACCCGCCCATGACGGTCATGACGCCGTGGGATGGCCCGCCGTCACCAGGAGTGTAAACCGCGGCACCGTGTCTCTCGCTCATCCTCTCCGGCACTGCGTGTGGCTCTCGCAGTGGGTGCAAGGTGCGCGGATGGGTGTGATGCGCATCATCATATGGCAGCGCAGGTGACAGCACGTGCGAGGAGGCGGCGACAGTGTAGGCAGCAGCTGGCCCGAACACACACACGCACGCACACACACACACACACGCACACACACACACACACACACACACACTCACACACACACAGACACACACACACACACACACAGACAGACACACACAAACACACACACAGACACGCACACATACACACACACACACACACACACACACACACACGCACACACACACACACACACGCACACACACACACGCACACGCACACGCGCACACACACACACACACACACAAAGAAACAAACAGAACATAACAATGCGCTTTGAATGAAATCATACTATGATTTGATGACCTTTAAGAAGTTGCTACTCTAGATCTCTCACACGGACTACTATGTGAGACCTTTTCATTTGAGACATTATAGACAGCGTTTGACAATAGTGTTGTTGGTCTCCAGGAGATTTACAGGTGTTATTCGAAGTAACCGCTGGAGCCCGAGTGCCATTACTTGCGAAACATTGGTCGCCGCCTGAAGGAACGATGTCATACTCCGAGAACCGCGGCGGAGGGAATAGCCAAGAGAGTCGGAGGCCATCCGGGTTCGAAACTATGTTCGCGGGCCGCTGATCTGTCTGTTTCGGCACGCTGGTACCGCCAGCCGCAAAAGTGTCCGACATGCTTGTCAAATGTACTAGATTCGCAGCTTCGGAAACGCTGCTTGCATGAACGGCGCTGACTCCGCGTGTAGTTTTAGTTTTAGGGTTCCACTGAAGGCGCGCGAAAAGTTATCCGTTATGATAGTGTAAGACCGCCGGCGTGTGGAGCTTGAAATCTTTCTTCCCCACCCAGCGAGTGGTTGTTACCGGTAATGACGCTCTGTGTGTGGCCACATCATGGACGCATGCCGCGCATGGCGAGCTTCTTTTCGACTTTTTACATTGAGCATGAAACAGAGCACAGCGAGACTGTGGAGAAAACCCTAGGACAGGAGGACCTGCTTGCGGGACAAGTTTGTCAATCTGTTGATTTCCTGGTTGCTGAAGGACACCCAGGCAAGTCTGCACACGTCTCAGGATGACAGGGCATTTTACCTCTGCCTTTCAGAGTGCATTTTTAAGGGACCGTAGCAACCTGTCAGCTAATAAATAATGCGGGTGAAATTCCTCAAGATTGATACAGCGAGTAACCTATTGCTGAGAAATGTAATCCGAACAAAAAAAATATGAAAATGGATGAAGTTGACAGCCATCCACAAAATAGCATGCAACATCTACTAAGTACGAATCGTATTTAATGTAAACGAACGAACTGGAAACGGTAGAGCAAGCAGAAACAGAAAAGGTCGGGAAGGAACAGCACAGTGTTATTCGAAAGAAGTATAAACACGGCTTAGTGCCTCTCCAGCCGTCTCCATCTCACACTATAGCGTAGCACAGCAGAGTGGTGTGTGTTTGTTAAAGCTCAAGTATACATTTGTAAGCTAGGTTCAGGGTTTTATAGTGTGCCTCAAACTTTTGGGGCAACTTTTCAAGTTCCTAAGGATTTTGAACCCCTCCTTTCAAATGTATACCGGAGCTTTAAACTTACGCAACCCCTCCCAGCCCAGGCAGAGTTCTTGATGGCAAATTCGCTGGGACGCAAGGAAAACGTGGATGGGGTTTCGTTAGTACCACACTGACAGTTCAGAGGTGGTAAACAAAATACCCCATCATTTATTGGATACTGTAAGCCTGAAACTCTGAAATGGTTCGGTGAAATTGGACCGACACTCCGCCCAACCCGTAGGGTCCCTCAAAACATGTCGGGAGCCCCGGCCAGACCGCGAAAAGCAGGACACCGGCCCCAGACTTCAAACAAGGTCAGCATCTACAGCTGTCAATGCTCTTGCACACACAGCAAGGTGTATGCCCGACCGGATTCACTGTGTGTGGCAGGTTGGGTCTTCAGCGAAATAACGTAGGAAAATCCCCCACGGAGTCAAGCACAGTCGTCATCATTAATCTGCACTGTGGACTTTTCCATCGGTGGCTGCTTGGGCAGATATGAGAGAATGGTGTACAGAAATAGTGTTGATGTACAACATTCGTAGTTCCAAGTGTACATCGCTAAACAGATTCTCCCCACCAAAACGTGTCCTGAAACAACTTTCGAGACTCTTTGCACCCATTCACCGCCCTTGCAAAACGGGAGTGGCAGAAAGGACAAATGTGTAGCCAAGCAGTGCCGGCATGACAAATGTGCAAGGCTTTTCTGCTAGCATGAGACAGGGTCACCTTTGCAAGGTTATGTTTTCGAAGTTACACTAGAATGCCGAAACCTCTTCACGTGCCATCTTCCTACTGTACTTAATTCTGATAGTGAAACCCACGCAGCGCTTAGACACTGACTCGCATTGACCTGCAGTCAAGAAGAAGGGTTACTGAAATATGAACCGGTCCCAACAAAAACCCTGACTCTACCCCGATTTGTCCACACGCCACCCGGCCTTGGCCAGGTGGCTGGTGGGGTGAATCCTGAAATGGAAAAGTGCCTCAAAACGAAAAGTGAGGCCTGGGAGGAACCTTATGGATTTCAGGTCCAACTGGCAGCTCCAGCCGAGGTTCATACAGTAGATTCGAATGTGTCGGGTTGTCTGAAAGAGCCGGTCTGGTCCCCAAACTGAGCTGTAGCATTGTGTACACAACGCCGAGGAAGCTTGCCCTTGTTCCGCAAAAAATCGGGCAGTTGAACGAGAACGTGAACCCTATGTTGTCCCGTGTTCTTCGTGTGCTGCTCCGTGAATCAGCGCCGCGATAAAAAACAAAAGCTGCCACATTCACGCCCTGATTCCGATATTTCACAGCTCAGCATGAAGTCCACCGGTAAGCAGCCTGTCAAGTCGACGTTGACTTGTAACGACTGGCAAGTGGAGTGGTCTCCATCACGAACGCCGAGATGGATTTTGAGAAATTGCAAAACCACCGAAACTGGCGATTGGACGGGTTCGATATAAGTCGCGAGTGCAATATCAAATATCTGACTACAGAATGCTGATACGGTACAATGAAGGCCTAAGCAAATATACAGAGGGGGCTTTGCTTGGTAGGGACCTCAAAACTTGGAAGCGTGGTACAAAGGCTGAAATCATCGTGTCATAGCCTCGGGAAGAGAGGTAGAATGTCCGAACACATCATTTTTGCGCGGTTCGTCCTCAGGGTTGGAAGTAAATCGAAAGTCTTATGTAATTCAACAGTTTGATATTATAAATACTATAATATTATCGTATTATTATTATGAGTGCATGTTACTGTAGCAAATGTCTCTCGCGTGAGTTATAGGTTGCTGTTATAACCAAAGGATCGAAGTGGATAGGATACAGCTGCTAAGTTGAGAGAAGTCAATGAAGTCTTTGTAGTGACCTTGTAAAATAAGGTTGAAAAAGACCAATATGATTATAAGATAGGAGTATGTGAAGAATAGCAGCTAGAAAGTTAGAACAGGAAAGAGGGTTTTCACTAGCAGGCAGTTGGGTACATATAGCAAACCCTAATTGGGTTGTACTCACTACAGAGTACCCCACTGCAGACTAGACAGCAAACACATTCTGACACACCCCCATAGTCAAAGTGGGGTGGGGTGTAATCAGCACAGCAAGCAGTTACAAAATAGTTCACAAGCACAAGTAAAGCTTGAGACAGTCACAGAGGGCAAGTGAGGAGGAGGAGGCGGGACTGTGAGAGGAGAGGAGATAGGAGGCGACGGCTGAAGCTGCAGACACACGGGCAACAGGAGCCGCACTGACGGTGGCTACCAGAGCAAGGGCCCCGGACTACAGGAGTATCTGGCTCCGCGGCTAAGACGAGCGGCAGGAGCAACGGACCCACGGGCAACTGGCGCAGCTGGCTCAAACTGGGCTACCGGAGATTGTAGCCTCCGGACTACTGGCGCTGCTGGCGACACGACGTTTACCTCCGCCCAACCACCCCCAACTGTCCCACCCCCCTTTACACACATCCCCTGCTGCACCTCTAGCTCCACTCCCACGACACCCGCCTAGCACTGTCAAGAACTAGGCATGAATGATTGACTATTGGGAAGATTGGGTACAAGTACAAACCCTAGCAATGTGTTGTACCCCATATGTTGTAACCCACTACAGCCTACACCCTAACATCACATATATAGTTTGACACACCCCTATAGGCAAAGTGGGGGAGAACAGAGGGTCACAAGACCAGTCAAGAAAGGCAAAGCAAGTTCAGGGTGGATCACAACGTCACCACACACACTGAGCACAAGCAAAAGGCCACAAGGCCAGTTCACATGCAGAGGTATATATGCAACAAGAACAGTACAGTGATCTCTACCTAGCAAGAGCAAGCATGCCGGTATATATATAGAGATCACAGTACAAGCAGAGTCTACAGCAAGTGTGGAAACGTAGGCACAAGGCCCAACAAAGTACAAAAGCGCTGATGGTCACCAGACGGAAGTGCCTTGGTGAATATATCAGCAGTATTGGCCCGAGTGGCCACGTGAGCAAGACGAAGCTGACCCCGCTGCTACAACTCTCGAGCCAGGAAGTAACGCAGAGCGATGTGCTTCGTTCTATGCTCCAGTCTGTGCTCCTCACACAATGCAATGGCGGCCTTGTTGTCGACGTACAGAACTGGAGGAGAACGAGGCCTCTCTCCCAAGTCGGTCAGCAGGTAGGTGAGCCAGCGTAACTCCTGAGCAGCCATGGCTGTGGCGTAGATCTCAGCCTCACAACTGGAGCTGAGAACAGAAGACGAGCGAGTAGAACGCCAAGAAACTGAACCGGAGCCAAGGCTGAAAGTGTAACCCTGTGACGACCGCTGCGTAGCCTGGTCGTCAACCCAAGAAGCGTCTGAGTGCCCAGTGAGGACAATTGGACTCCGCCCTCCAAGCACGAGCCCCATGCCCGATGTACTGCACAAGTAGCGCAGTACCCTCTTAGCAGCATCCATGTGCACCTTTCGGTGCCAACCAGGAGCCACGTAGCGAGCCAGAAGGCCAAGAGCGTACGCGAGGTCAGGACGAGTGCAGGTTATCAGGTACATGAGGCAGCCAACTAGCTCTGGGTAAGGACCACTCGGCTCTACGGACTCGTCCGAAGGTGGAGCTGAGAGCGAGTGACCTGTAGCCAGAGGAGTGGCATGTGCCGAGGACCAGGTGAAGCCGAAGCGCTGAAGGACCTGCTGCACCATGTGTGACTGAGTCAGTGTGATGGTGCGGCGTGCTCTGTCCCGGGTGATCTGCAAGCCAAGGTAACTGCGCAGCTCACCCAGGTCTGTGCACGTGTGTCTCTTCTGCAGCTCCGACTTCACCAGGGTGAGAGCCTCAGTGTCAGCAGTGGCAAAGACCAAGTCGTCGACGTACACGAGGATGTAGAACGGCGGCAGCGAAGTGTCGGTGCGCAGAAACAACGACGGGTCAGCAGTCGACGGAGCAAACCCAAGAGCCGCAAGTGTCGTCCTCAGTGTGTCGTGCCACTCACGTGGCGCCTGGCGGAGACCGTAGACCGGCCGCCGGAGGCTCCACTGGGTACCAGGAGGGAACGACCCAGTGAATCCAGGCGGGCGGCGCAGCCAGATC